CATCCACGTGGCCTTTTTTCCTCGAAAGCACTGATTTGGCCTGTCCATGTGGCATTAGAGCCTCCTTCTCCTTTTCCCTGCAACTCATTCATCTTTCTCCCCCTTTGCTTCTTCTTTCTCTTTTCTTTCTTTATTCTCTTCTCTTTTTTCTTGCTTCTTCCTTCTCTACCTCTCCATCTTTCTATGCCGTCGACCTCTGCCGCCGTCAACCCCATCGAGCTCTATCGCCGCTGTCACCATCTGCGTCAAGCTCCGCCGCCACCTTCCCCGTCGCCGTCTGGTTTCCATCGAAGAAGAGCAAGGGTTTCCGTCGGGTTGCCTTCTCTGGGCATGGAATGAAAGAAGGTGGATAGAAGGTTGAGTGGAGATCGGAGAAAGACGAGAAAGAGGAAGAGGAAAAGGAAAGAAGAGGGAAAAGAGAAGGGGGCGGGCAAGATTGCAAGAGTGAAGGGAGGGGGAGGTTGAATTGGGTGGGGGCGTGGGGTAGAAGCATTGGAGAAAAAGATGAGATTGAAGAATAGGGGAGAGGGAGTTGCAGGGAGATTGGAGAAGAAGGGAAAAAAAAGGAATGACGAAGGAGGGAGTTGCCGGCCGCCGATGAATAAGGGGGACGACGAACCAGAGGAAAAAAGGGAAAAGGAAAGAAAATTAAAAGGGAAAAGAAGGGAAAAGAAAAGGGAAAAAAGGAAAAAGTATAAAAAAGCTTATGTGGCATTCACGTCACCGATAAAAAGGGTCACCAATTGTTTAACGGTCAAGTGACAAAATTGTTTAAAATTTGAGACTTTGTGTACCCAATTGATCGATAAAATAGTACATCGACTTAATTGACTTTTTCAAGATACTACATTTGACAATTTTCCTAGCGTTTTTCATAATCTAATATATATTCTGAGCCAAGAATTAAACGCAAATTATATCGTACACCCAGATGTACGGTCCTCACCGTACTTCCGGGTATTTTTGGAATTAAACTCGTTGGGCGGGCTGCACACCAGCACCGACTTCAGGAGTGATGGAGATTGGCGATTGGTAGGCTGAACTCCGACCTCCTTGCCGTTTGGTGCTGCTACCAATCAGTTTGCTTATTTGTAGAAGATATCTTTGTTGAAGACAAAATCATCACAGAACCCACCCTACGGATAATCCTCTGCAATCTGTGAGAAGCTATATTTTCAACCACAAAGTGCTACCTCTCATCCATCATCCACATACTTATTTTCCACATACTTAAATTCAAGAGTTTCAATTAAATTATTAAACCACAAAGTGCTACCTCTCATCCATCGTCCACATACTTATATTCAAGAGTTTCACATTAAAAATAAGTTTTATGTTAAATTCAAATGAGTATAACGTTCAAAATGAATGAGCACACAAAATTGCGTTTTTAAATTTTTTGATACTCATTTCGTAAGTTATGTATGCTCATTTGGTACTAATGTTATGCTCATTTTTGAATTGTTTTATGAATGCATATTTCAAAAGTATCATATTACATTAGACTCACATATTAAAATTAATAGGAGTGTATTATAGATATATAATAAGTTTTTATAAAAGAAAAAATAAGAAAAAAAAGAATTAGAAGATAGTGTATGAAGCAGGGATCGTGATATCATTGTTAGTCTCTTAAATACTCAATAAAATATGTCTAATTCTCATTAAAAGTACAATATTGCTCATTTAGTGGAAGCCGTAATTTTTTGCTTAATTTACAAAAATGCCACCGAATTATTTTTGGTCTGTATTGGTTACTGGGCTGTCTACCTTGGTTGGGCCGGGTGTACATACACCCGGATGTACCATATAGGCACTTAGAATTAAATATGGTGCGAAGAACACCTGTGTCTAATATGGTCAGTTATCACATCTTTATGTAATATAAAGTAACAGTTTCTGTACCACAATTGGAGAGAAAAATCTCGCCTAAAATGAAGACATAACCGAGAATTAATGCAAAAATTAAATTTGGTAATGTATTAACTACATTAACGAATGACAATGGCAGGTTTCTAATAAAGTACTCCGTATGTTACAATTCCATTCCAAAAAAATAAAATAGGTAACATAGAATAAAAAAATTATAAAAAACAAAAAAGAAAAATAAAATCTCATATTTTTTTGAAGTGTTGTAACTTTTTTATTTGTACTCAGATTGTTACAAAAAACATATCAAAATTCATATTTTTTTATTATCTTTCATATGACACCAATATTGAATATCTAAAAATAAACAAAAACAACACTAAAAACATCTTTTTTAAGTGCTATAAATTTTTTATTTTGTACTTCGATTGTTACAGAAAATATATCAAAATTCATATTTTTTTATTAACTTTAATGTGTCACCAATGCTGAATATCTTTATATAATACTACGTATGAAATAGAAAAATTGCTACAATTATTGGAAGGAAAATTCTCGCACAAAATGTAATCTTTATTTTTATTTTTTTTATATAATATAAAGTAACAGTGTTGCTACAACTATTGGAGGGAAAATCCCCGCCCAAAGAAAAGATATAATTGGAAATTAATGTTGAACCTAAAAAATGACACCCGAGGGAGAAACGGTACGACAGAGCATACATGCATATAAGGAAATGAAATATATGATGAAGCATTTATATATCGTACACAAATCTTTATCAAACAATACGTGTATATCAATCTGCAAACCGAGATATATTAGGTTAAACTGTCAACCTACTATAAAAAGTGTATTCAACATATTAACTAAAAAATCAAGTGTAAGTAAATATGCGATCAAGATATTAGATTCGCTAACCTGCTATTGAAATTTACGATCACCAAACAAAAAAGTATTATATTGTTCAATGGCTTTTAGAAAAAAAGAAGGCACACCATCATTTATTTATGTCCACATTTTAAGTTGACATATATGCATTGTCCGTATAAATGCATTATGGTTTGACCGGATTATATGTGTCAACTTTTCAAATTGCTTATACGAACCACAAAAAAAGAAAAATACAGCCTTATATGTAATATATATGTTGTATATGTTATGTACGTATAGGTAATTACACCTAAACAATAAAAAAAGCAAGTGCAGCTGCTTTAGGTTGTTAAAATCTAAATAATCCATATTCTCTCCCACTACATAAATGTGCCTAAATTATTCTGTCCAAACTTTGTCCAAAAATGGTACTACCTTTGTCCCCTAATATTTGGACGGAAGAGAGTGATGTGCTTTTTAAGAAAAATAGAATTATGTTGTTGATAATAAGTTGATAAAGTGGAATAAACTAAGAATGAATTAAAGTGATCACACAAATGTTATCAAATACGGTATAAGACAATAATAGGGGGACATCCCAAAATGAAAAAATGGGACAATCATAGGGGAACATAGGGAGTACAATTGAAGCAATTTTAAGTTTCTAAAACCTAAACAATTTAATTGCTTATATAAATAACAACAAAATTCCAATTCTCATCCTCAAACTCTGTATATATACTTAATTTTCCGCCTTTCATTAACAATTCTAGTAAGAACAATGCATCTAGATGAAATCCAGTCCAAATCTATTGCGTTGTGCTATAAAAGATATAATTAGCGAAGAGGGAAAAATCATATAGAATTATATAGAATGCTAAATGTGATGAAGTGTTTAATATTGTTCTTATATAAGCTAATTATTTTATATAAATATGTATACATGTTAAGTTATGCATATCTATATGATGGATAGTGTACCCGGGGGTAGTTTATCCGAGGGGTTATTACGGGGAGTAATAAGAGAGAAGTCAGAGCAAGTAAATATAGAGAGAGAAAGTATATTATAAAGTGGGGATCGTTTTCAGCGTGGTTACAAATGGGGAAATGGGGTGCTATTTATAGTAGCAATAAATGCCGGACAGGGACACGTGTCAAGCGCCCATTGGCCGAGAGGTCATCTCAACTGGTTGGCGCTGGCAGCCGCATGTGGCCGCATTTAATGCGGCTGTTGGATGGGACGTTTGTACAGGGTACGATGATCTGTACGCATGTGATGCGGATATCATGTCGGGAGAGGTGCCTTCGGCTACAGAGCAGTAGCCGAAGGCTCCTCAAGCCGAGGGCACCCTGGTGGCGAGGGCTACTGTTTTCGCCGTTTTCTCCCAGTTTCTTAGTTTGCTTGAAAACCCATTCTGTGAGAGTTTTGAGCCTTCGGCCAGGGGGCCGGAGGCTCCCCATTGTGCGCTGCTAAGTGCTTGGGGTGCCGTAATCTGGGGCTTGCTGTGCTTCCTGGGCCGGTTGGGCCTTTATTGGTGTAGTAGGAGTCTGTGGGCCGGGGGTTCCCGGGCCATATACTCCATCAGGAGTCCCTCACTCCTTTTGCCGAAAGGTACTTGAGGGAAAAAGAGTAATTTGTGCTTGCCCTTTGATGTTGTCTCGTTGTAATCTCTGAAGTTGGTGAGGAGTCGTTGCTTTCATGTCCCTGCCGAAGGCAGTCCCTCAGTTACCCACATGTCGGGACTTGAGGGATTGCTTGGCCGTTTGTTGGAAATTTTCACCATTTTGTAATTTAATGATTTTCCCGAGGGGGTCCTCCAGTCCCCCACTTCTTGAGGCACTTGCAAAGTGGTGAAAAGGAGTAGAGTAGTCGCGCTGCTGTTGTGGGCCGAAGTCTGACGCTTTTCGTTTCATTTTGGGGGATGCCTTGTTAAAAACCTCATTAGGAAAAACCCTGGGGGAAAAAATCCCAATTAGGGAATAAGAGTGCACCGAAAATTATATGTGTATCCATAATGCTAAAATGTAGGTGTTTTTTCTTCCTAAAATTAAGATCATGTGGGAAATGAAAAAGTAATTTTGATTCTCAAGAGCTTAGGGATATTAAAAAGTTAAAAAGTAATATAAGAAGTATTTTATATTGTGTTTACTTGGACTGTTTTCAGTCTCAGACCACAACAAATCAAACTTCAACATACCAGATCAGATCACACTTTCATATTTATAAAATACCTAAAGCCCAGACTTTTTTACGATATACTCCTTATAAAAGCTATTGACTTTTTTATTTAGCAAAATTATGTTAATGTATCATCTTAACAAAATATAATTTTAAATAATATGTTAATGTACTCGTACTTCCTCTTGTTTGCATAGGTTTTAGCTCATGTATAGGGTTTTTCAGTCTCCCCCCTCATCTCTCCTTATACTTCTGCGACTGTGCAGCGCAATCATCTTCTCGTTTGAAACCTTGCTCTAGTTATATACGGGAAGATGAAGGTTAAAGTTATATCGCGCTCGACGGATGATTTCACTCGAGAACGCAGTCAAGACCTTCAGGTAAGCTATATTTACACGGTTAAAAGTAGCTCTATTACTGCTTCACCAGTTTCTGGAAGAAAAGAAAAACGTCGAATTTGAAATTTTGTAGAGGGTATTCCGGAACTTTGACCCCAGCCTTCGACCTCAAGAAAAGGCGACGGAATATGTTCGTGCTTTGAATGCTGCTAAATTAGAGAAGGTAGTGACACTGTATTAAAGTTCTTAATCTGTTCTCAAGTTCCATCCAAAATTTGATTTTTCATCTGTTCTTTTTTCTGCTTGTTCTTTTGATTGTCAGATTTTTGCAAAGCCATTTGTTGGGGCTATGGATGGGCATATGGATGCAATCTCGTCTATGGCTAAAAATCCGAATCACTTGAAAGGAGTATTTTCGGGTTCAATGGATGGAGGTATTAAGAAGTAAATAGGTTGCAGGTTCTTTGTATATATTACGGAATTGGGAGTGGGATGGGATTGAGTTTTAAAATTCAACCATTGATGGTAAAAAGAAATCCATGTTTTTAGTTTGACCACTCAATACGTAGTTAAGAGGAATGAGTAACGTTGCTCATAATGCAAATTGATAGCTAAACACAAACAGTCCTTGGTCTAGTCCCTTCAAAAGGCCTCACATGGCAGCTTTTTAGTGTAGGCAAACTTTATTTATTTAAGCCCTTCATTTTCTTTCTTTTTAATTTTTTTTCCATCATTTGCAATGGAACCAAAGATTCATTTTTTTGGCTTGAGATTATGATGGAATAAAGCAAAATGGCTCACTAAACTGTATGCGCTTCTTTGTTATGGAGCAACAGTCAGTCCATGCAATTTTGGACGCGATTTTCACTATGGGTCATCCGGAAACAGTCTCTCTGTGCTTTAGTACAGGGGTAAGACTGCGTACATCCGACCCCCTTACCCCACCGTAGGTGGGAGCCTTTGCGGCACTGGGGTAAATGAAAATGAATGGATTTTCTTTCTTTTTAATTTCGTTAGATTCTAAACTATCTTTGATTTCACTTGCAGATATTCGCCTTTGGGATATAGCTAACAGGTAATGATCCCATTCACATAGTGTACTTGTACTAATTAAGTATGCTAGGAATATAATGCTTTAATAATCAGAGTTGACGAGTACTGGGTTGTAGTGCATAAATAGGTGACAAATGAGTCTTTATTTTGCCATTTGGTTTTTACTTGTAGAGCTCATTTTGAGTATTTACTGACAGCATCAGTAGGTTCAGAGAGCTTAGTAACTTTTGATTGTGCGTGCAAATAATGTGACTATTTTATTTGATCCAACACTTCTCCTTAAATATAAAAGGAAAACGGTATGTCAGTTTTCTGGTCACAAAGGTGCGGTGCATGGTTTGGCGGCATCTACAGAGGGACGTGTTCTGGTGTCATGTGGAACTGACTGCACGTAAGTCTCTTTACATTTTTCTTTTATGTGTGAATCTTGAATGCCATATGTGAAGAATATATGGTGGTGTAATTCTCTCTGCTTCATATTGTGTTCAATTAGTGTGAGGCTCTGGAGAGTGCCTGTTTCTACTCTACTGGAAGCAGAAGATGAATCTGAGAACTCAGCCAAGGTAAAGTATTTTGCAATTACAGATAACCTAGTTTCATACTTGCAAACAATTTACTTTCTTATGTTATTTTCTAATGATCTAACCTGCATGTTTGCAGTCAATGGCAGTTTATGTCTGGAAAAATGCGTTCCGGTAGGTTTTTATTTTATCGTGCCTGAAGGTTCTGCACTTCTGCTGCAGTGGGTTTGTGAGTTTTTGAGTTTGTTTCCTTTTCCTTTTTCATTCTGTCTACTAAATTATATCTTATTCACAGGGCTGTTGACCACCAATGGGATGGTAACCTTTTTGCAACAGCTGGTGCACAAGTAGATATATGGGACCACAACAGGTTTTATTCAATGCCTTTTTTTGCCAAGTTGGTACTCTTTAGTTTTTACAATTTACTGTTTCATTGCAAAAGGTCTCAGCCGGTGAACAGTTTTTCTTGGGGGAATGATACTTCCATATCAGTTCGATTTAATCCTGGTGAACCTGATATTTTGGCAACATCAGCTAGGTATCTGCTCATCCAGAATTATTTCCTTACTACAAGATGCTTTTGTCTTGTTCTTTATCAGAAATGCTATTATGCCACCCACAGTGGATAAATTTTATCTTAACGATTTATATCTTATTTTTACAATTTTATCTTTGCAGTGATAGAAGCATAACTATATACGATTTACGAATGTCATCAGCGGCAAGAAAGATTATTATGAGGGTAATCAGATTGTGTGTAACATTTTAATTGCAAAGTGAACATTTTATGGCAATTCCCTAATTTGCAAGCTTGTCATGGTATAAACATGGTCTGATGAAAGTTTTAAATCTCAATTCTCTTCATGGGAACTTAATGCTTACATAATGCATATTCCTGTATTCCCTTTGTAATACATGTTGTCTTATTTGCAGACCAGAACTAACTCTGTTGCGTGGAATCCCATGGAACCAATGAATTTCACTGCTGTAAGTGCCACTACCGTCTACCAACTACTAACTTCAAATGGCGCGTATGCTTTTTTCCCCTAGAATGATAATGCCCCCCCCCCAAAAAATGTTCGTGTCATTCTTTTTTGTTTATACATTTACATGTGTTGGAGGGGGGGGGGGGGGTCAAACCAAATGGCCTTATGCATCATGCTGTTGAGCATTTCCAGTGGACCTTTCTATTTGTTGCAACCACGTTTTTATGTTTTGTGCTCAATTTTGTTCAAAACATTTGGAAATAATCATATGTAAGCATTGGGGAAACACATGCAAATTTACAAACATACAAACTCATTTTTTGGGATTCCTGAAAGAGTAACTTTTGGGCATACTGAATGATATTCCATTTCCATTGTTTGCCAGATACTGGATCACTGATAAATGGTGTGTGCACAAAGTTGCAACATTAACTATGGATGGTTGATATTGCTTAATTATGTATTTATGTTTTGTACAAGTCATCAAGACCTATATCTGATGTTTTGATAGGCAAATGAGGATTGTAACTGCTACAGCTATGATGCTAGAAAACTAAGTGAAGCCAAGTGTGTTCACAAGGATCATGTCTCCTCAGTGTAAGATTTTTTTTTTTGAGAGAGATAGTAAAAATTGACTTGATGGTGTGATTGGTGTCCTACACCCGTGATCATTTTTCAGGATGGATATCGATTATTCACCAACTGGTCGTGAATTTGTGACGGGATCTTATGACAGAACAGTGAGTCTCTTTTGCCTGAATATATCTTAGAATACATAAAAAATATTTTGCATATAGAAATAGATAGTTTCTGTAAGCTGACCATACTCTATTGTTAGGTGAGAATATTTCAGTATAATGGTGGTCACAGCAGGGAAATCTATCATACAAAGAGAATGCAAAGGTTTCTTGGCCCTACATCTGTATATGTGGCGTTGTTGTTTGAGTTCTTATTACATGATGAAGATTAGTTTTTAAAATGATAATAGTAATATTGTACTACCTCCGTTCTAAAATGTGCATTAATTGCAACATGTTTAATTTTGCACTATTCATATGTTCTACTTTGATTACTTTATATACTACTCCCTCTGTCCTGCTAATTGTCCCATTTTACCTTTTCGGGAAATCCCACTAAAATTATCTCATACCAAATTTGGTAAAGTTTGTGTGGCTCTAAATCATTTTTACTTTATTCTTATTTTATCAATTCCATATCAATCACATAAACTCAATTTTCTTAATAAACGTGACACCCCCTCTTGTCCCAATGTTAGTGGGCTGGAGGTAGTAATGCATTAGGAATTCAATTTTTAAAAAATATTATTAAATTTTTATCATTATAAATTTTGAAAATCAGATTTTTTTACTGATATGGGATTAAATATATTAATGATCAAAGTTGTGTGTTGGAAAATGTGAAATAGAAGCGTTGCAACTAAAATAGAACGGACATATTTATTAGTCATTTGATCGTATACCTAAAAACTAAAAAATGAGGATATGATTAGCTGGTAAGGATAAATTTTGTTTGAAATTGCCAAAGATGCTAGCTGGGCTGAATCCGTTGAACACTTGGCTGACATGATTGATTTTGCCATATTGTCTGATGGATATGTTTATAGTTACTTTTAAAGATAGTTTATAGACAATATCTAAAAATGGAGTTTAGGGTCATTATCAGCCAGTTCAGCCAACATGTTTGCTTAAGTTGGTGGTTTGTAGTACATTGGTTGGTATATAAAAAGCAACATGCTATAAAAGGGGAACAAAGTGGAGTTGCAGCCATGACTTCTTTGCCTCTTCAGTTTGCGAATCTTTGTATAGGAAGGAGTGATCTAATCTGTGAATGTGATGAATCACAGGGTGTTCTGTGTGAAATTCAGCTGCGATGCAAGTTATGTTATCTCAGGAAGTGATGATACCAACCTTCGGTTATGGAAAGCTAAAGCATCTGAGCAAATGGGAGTTGTATGTATCTTTTGGTCTCTATTTCATGGTTACCAATATCAAATTATTGACTTTCCTGTTTAAAATTTCTATGCATATTTGTAAATACTTATGATCTATTGTACTTGAACCTACCTATAATAGCTTCAGAAACTTGATACACCTTTAAAGAAACTAATTCAAGGAAAGCTGTTTAACTTGATGTAATGTATACATGTGCAGCTTTTGCCCAGAGAACGTAAAAATCATGAATATCTGGAAGCTGTCAAGAATCGTTACAAACATCTTCCTGAGATCAAACGTATTGTCAGGTAATTTTCTGAGCTACTGACATCAGAATTTGGTAAAGAGCACATTAGTTCTGTGCTTGAAATTTTCTCAAGAGTCTGTACGGGACTAGGAAAACACTAGGGAAACAAACCAGGGTGGAAACGGAATAAAATATCGTGGAAGAATATTACTTCAATCTTAATAAATTTTAGATATTTGTTCACACGTTTATTTAATAATTTAGACTAAAGAAGGGTACTTGCGTGAGTATTTGTTGTCCTTTCCCCATGTTTATGTAGTTCCAGAAGTAGCCTAGAAAGGTAAAGAAAATTTAGATGGGGGGCATTTTTATTTATAGATACATTTAAGAAGCAACGGACATTATTATTTCATAGGTACTCAATTACCTGTTATAACAAGCATCGGAGTTGAGAAGGGACTGCTACAGGTTGAAATATCTGACGTGTTTGTTATATGATTTTGGCAGACACGGGCACCTGCCTAGAGCAATTTACAAGGCTGCAAATCTGAGGCGAGAGATAACAGAAGCCGAAAGGAGAAAGGAAGATAGAAAGAGAGCTCATAGTGCACCGGGTAGCATGCCAAAGCAGGCCTTGCGTAAAAAGAGGATCATTCAAGAGGTTGAATAATAATAATAATAATAATATAATACAGAGTAATAATATGTTTTTGTTCATTATTTATAGTGAGCTGTATTTTGTTTTTATAATTAAAGAGCTGTAGGCTGGATAATTACAGAGCTGTGATATTTTTTTTTTCATAACTATTAACATGTGTTAGGATTCGTGTTGGCGATTTGTTTGATTTGATTTCGTAAAATATTGTGAAATTCTATTTTTGTGTTACATTGATATGCTTTCTTTCTCACAACGGTCACCATCGTTATTATTTTTAGCTTTCTTATTGATTTCTTAAATAAAAATTAATCCTTCTCTCTTAAGTTGTTTTCAGTAGTTTTGTTTAATTTATGAATATTACGGATCCGGATTCTCTGCCTTACTTCTGAGTAGGGGTAGACTCGGGCCGGGTGGCCTGACCCGGAACCGGCCCGACCCGGTGGCCCGGTCAGTGACCGGTCCGGGTAGGCCCGGCCCGTGGGTTTTCCGTTCCGGGCTCGGGTCACCCAAAACAAGGCCCGACCCGGCCGGGCCCGGGCCCGGTTCGGGCCAAAACCTATTTTTTTTTAAATTTTCGGGTTGGGCTGGGTATTTTGGGCCATTTGGGGTGGTTTGGGGGGTTGGGGGTGGGAGGGGGGTTAATTAGGAACAGGAAAACAAAAAAAAAATTATAATGGGCCCAGCCCGGCCCGGCTCGGACCCGGACCGGACCCGGTGGTTACCCAGGCCGGTCCTGGGTCCACCATTTCTGAACCGTCGGCCCGCTTGGGCCTAGGCCCGACCCGGGCCCGGCTCGGACCTGAGTCCACCCCTACTTCTGAGCAAGGCACCCTGCCCAGCCTTTGGGAGTCGTTCGATCAATATTTCAAGATCTGCATCTCGAGGTGTGGCTTTTCCCATCCAATGGACTCCCTACCGTAAGGCACTCTACCGTGTGGCAGAGGATCCCAATCCGAATAGTACTAAATAAAGGCTTGAAGAAAACCACATAGGGTTGGACCGGGATTGGTCCGGTACCAATTTTTTTGGGATTAAGGCCCGGTACTGGCCCGGGATTCTACCGGGACCGGTCCGGTCCATTCTTCTCGCCCGGATCTCGGGTCGTTTTTTAGATGTTTAAAAAATAATTGAAGAAGTGTTAGATATAAAAAAGTTAAAGTGTATTTATTTGAAATATGAACTACAATTGAGAATTGAGATAAATTTAAAACATTAAGTACATTTCCTAAATCCTAATAATTAGTCGGAATCTTCAGTACCGTCGGTTATTGTTTTCTCCTTGAAGTGGTGGGTAGGGGTGATGTTAAGTTTTTGAGTTCTACGCTGGACCTTCAACCAATCGTGGAAACAAACAAGCGTATCAAGAGATTCTGCGCTCAATCTCGTTATATAATCCGTTAGTAAGAGTGGACTCGGGCCGGGCCAACTGGCCCGGAACCGGACCAGCCCGCTACTGTGCGGGCCCGAACCGACTCGGTGAACCGGTTAGTGCCTGGTTCGGGCCACCCGGCCCGGTGAGATAGCGGTTCGGTCCCGGGCCTGCTATATAGTGAACCGACTCGGCAAAGCCATTTAAAACTTAAGTTTTTTTTATATAAAATGATCATTGACTCGGACCGGTCCCGGATTGGTCCCGGACCGGCAACACCGGTCTCCGTTTTCTGCGACCCGTAGCCCGCTCCCTAACCCCGTTTCGGGCCCCAAAACCCGGTCTCGTGTCCGGTCAACCGGGCCGGGCCGGTACCGCACAATGGCTGTCCGGGCCGGGTTCCGGGCCGGTCAGAATCGGACCGGTCCACCCCTACAACCACATAAACAAATCTCAAAAATATGACTAGTAGAGACAGTGATTGGTGTATCCCCATTGTAGTGATTTACAATTTGTAATAATTTAGTTGCATGGCTTCTTCACCATTCCTCCCTCTAAACCCCACCCTAGTGGTAATCCATCAAAAACACTAAACCCCACCTTAGTGGTAATCCATCTACAATGTTTTTGATCCTTCATTATTTATAGCGAGCTGTATTTTGTTTTTGTAATTAATAATTAAAGAGCTGTAGGCTGGAAATTACAGAGCTGTGATATTTTTTTTATAACCATTAACATGTGTTGGGATTCATGTTAGCTATTTGTTTAGTTTGATTTCGTAAGAAATTGTGAAATTCTATTTTTGTGTTACACATTGGTAGTTTATTTATTTTATGAATATTTCTAAATAAAGACTTGAAGACAACCACATAAACAAATCTCAAAAATATGACTAGTAATAGTAGTGACTAGTGTATTCCCCATTGCAGTGATTTTGCAATTTTAATGACTCAAACCAGATCACCAAATAGTGACCATCCATGTAGTGACTGCCGCCGCCGCTCGAATTAGTCACTGCCGCCGCTGTCTGGATCAATGACTGCCGCCGCCGTCCTGTGCAGTGACTGCCGTTGCTGCCCCTACGAGTGACTGTTGTGGTCCTTTGGCCACTGATTCCCGTCGCACTCGGCTAATGACTATCGCCGCCCCATCAACCAAGGACTGTCGTTGTCGCCCTGGTAGTAACTGCCACCCCAGCCCCACTACACCCTCCAGTCACTACTACCCAGCCAGGCATATCCCACCCAACCCCTCCCCCAGCCCCCTCCTCAACAATTGGACAAAGGGAATCGAGATGATGACCATTGCAGCCGTGCACACTCGGACTGCCACAGGCCCACCCTTGTCTATCAAACTAGTCACCGCCCACCAGCCCCACCCTGTCACTGCCCATTATAGTAACACCGCCACCGCCATAGTGACGCCGCACCACCCTAGCGCCGTCGCTGGCATTGCCCCTCACCTGTCTTTCCCACTACCCCTCCCCCACCACAGTCACATGACACACAACCACCAATATGGTTGGCCACCGAGAAACTATGCCCTCCTTCAGGCTCCAGCCACCCAATCGTTGTAGTACACCAACTTCAACTACCCTAACCAGCCCCAATCCACTCCTCCCACTAGGACTGGCAATATCACCCGCACCCGCGGATACTCGATCAACCCAAATCGAAAATATGGACGAAAATCCGAAAAATTATGGATGAAAAATGGATGACGGGTGGATTGAAAGATGGGTTGGATCGGGTGTGGATGAACACTCATCCAACCGATCACCCGACCCATCACCCGCTCCATCCACCCACCCGCTAAGCCGCATATAAATGTATATATAATAATTAATATTAATATATTAATATATATGTGTTTGTTAATGGAAAAGACACATATCTATGAATTGGTGAAATAAAGACAATTGAAGAGTTTTAAGAAATGACAGTTGAACTAAAAATATAGTTTTGTGCCGATGTAGAAATGTAGAATTTGAAAGCTTGAAGAAGCTTTACGTCTATTTTGTTTGACAATTGGTTATTTCTTGATTGGCAGTGAATTAGTGATTGTAATATACTTAATTGTTCAAGTTTTTGTTGTTTTTATTCAATGATCTTAATTTTTGATTTTTAATTGTCATGATCTATCTTTATAATAATTTATTTATTTTGTCTTTCAAGTTAGACCATATATTTCACCCGTTACTCATCCGATCCACCCGATAACCCGTTCATGATGGATGGGTTGGATGTGAATGTAACTTTTAATGGATGATGGACGGCTGGGTGGATTATAAAAAATTAACGGGTGGACGTGGATGAGCCTTCACCCGGTATAAATCCGACCCGCTGCCACTCCTACCTCCCACCCAAGCCCACCACCGCTCGACCAAACTAACCGGATCACATCTGGCCGCTTGCAACCAAGTCAGACTAGTTAACGCTCGGGGAGGTGCAACCCCCAACCAGAGCCCCGACGCGAAAACCCTAATCAGCGTCATCTTCATTGGCATAGTTGAAGAGGTCGTCGTCAGGGAGATGCCAATCCTAATGGTTGACTAAAGAAAGAGAAGAAGATGGCAAGCGGATAGGATGTCGAGCGGCAGCGGCGCGATGACCAAGAGGAAGAGAAGAGTAGCTGGTCAGACACAGCGACATCAAGGGAGAGCTCCATGCCGGAAGAAGGTGATGAAAAATTTCACGCGCGATGACTCACTTTTCTGGAAATTAGCTAATGAGTAATATTTTTGGAATCTAAAAGGCTTTGGGTAATACATGTGCCATTCTTTCTTGTTTAATGTATCTGGTCCCATTGAAATTTACAAGTAACTAATCGTGACCAGGTGCGAGCATATTTCGGTACGAAATACCGAATTGGATTGGTCGGTCAAGACTGGACCCAAATCAATTACATACCGGTCTGGTCTTCGATTCAAGCCTTTTGAAGTTTCCGGTTTTGATATGGTCCAAATCCAAAAACATTTAGGTCTGGACTGGTTGGATCGTAATTAACTAATTATTACTTTTTAAATATATTATTTTAATCTAATACGTTTTTGACTTATACAATTCTTTCCAGTTTGACTTGGATTGAAGTTTAGGAAAGTGGGAATAAAATTAAAACGTATTATTGTGGTAGAGTAACAAAAAAGGTAAATGAATGTTAATCACAAAACTCTCTCCAAAAAAGAAATGAGAAGATTTTTTCGGGACATCTCAAAATAGTAAGTGGGAAGAATATTATGGGATGAGGGAGTATGTATTAGTATCTAACAAATATTAGAAACTAATTTATATTTGGTTTTATTCGGTTATTTATTCAAGAAAGATTTATGTCTAAATAAATTAATAGCCATTAATTTTTATGTTTTATTTTATAGGCTTTGAGTCTCAAAATGCTAACCCTTTACAATGAGATTAGAGCCCCTATTTATACTAATAAAATGGGATGGGGGTGATGACATGGCTGAATCTGACTTGCTGCCATTCTCGAGCCACTTGGATGCCCATACTCCCACTTGCTGACGCCATGCTAGCATTAAATGCCCCTTGCCACTTGCAGGCCACCCGTTCGGGCTTCAGAACGATGCCCATGCTGCTATCATTATTAATCTGGCCCAAGTTACCTGCATGACCCGTTCCCCGTTCGGGGTATAATCCCTCATGGTTCCCTGGATTTCTTGTTCGGTATAACTAGTTATTGGGCCTATTCTTCTTTGGATCCTTACTGACTAATGGGCCTGGTATATTGGGCTTTCGGCCCAATATCCCAACACGAGTCCCCCACTTCTGATGTCCCAAACGATAGTGAGGGTATAAGGAAGTAGAATAATTTGGTTAATCATAACGGTTTGGTTGTATGCCGTTCGGTAATCGTGTATAGGATCTTGCCGGTTCC